GGCAGGGAGCATGGTGACATGAAGGCAGACATGGTACTGGAGATCTGCAGGCAGCAGGAAAAGAGGAGATACTGGGCCTGGCCTGTGCTTTTAAAGCTTCAAATCCCACCCCCAATGACACACTTTCTTCAACAAGGCCATACCTCCCTTGGTGGTTTGAATAATGCCCCCCATAGGTTCAAAGATTTGGATGCTTTGTCCCCAGGGAGTAGCAATTTAAAAAGGTATGGTCTTATTGGAGTAGGTGTAACATTGCTGGAGGAAGTGTGACAATGGGGGTGGATTTGGTGTTATAAACTCAAGCCAATCCCAGTGTCTCTCTGCTGCTGCCTGCCAATCCAGATGTAGAACTCTAAGCTACTTCTTCTGCACCGTGTCTGCCTGCATACTGCAATGCATCTTACCATGATGATAATGGACTAAACTTTTGAAACTGTAAGCCAGCCCCATCTAAATGTTTTCCTTTATAAGAGTTGCTTTGGTCATGTTGTCCCTTCACAGCCACAGAAACACTCACCAAGACAGAAGTTGGTGCCTGGGACTGGGGTATTGCTGTGACAGGCTTGACCATGTTTCTTAGTGGAATGTGGACTTTGGGACTTTGGATTAGGAAAGAAGTTGAACTCTTTTAAGTGGAGCTTAATGGGCCATCCTCGTAGGAATGGGAAGACAGTGGGGCTGAGAGCAATGTCGATTATTTTGGCCTGGTTTACAGACAGGAAGAATATTAGTAAGTGGCCTCAAGACCATTCTTGTGACATTTTGGCAACGAATGTGGCTGCATTCTACCCTTGTCCAAAAAATATGCCTAAGGATAAATTGTTTGAATTAATGGCATAGAGGAGATTTCAAGACACCCTAGTATTGACTGTCCTATGGTTATTGATAATAATCCTTATGCAAATATTAGACATACTGATTTTCTCCTGTAAAAGTCAGAATGGCTGTAATTTTTCTAGTAGAATCTAACAATGAAGTTTCCTGTTGATGTAAAGGTCTCCCTCTGATTCCTTCTCTATCCCCGCTCCCCCCCCCCCCCCCTGACTTCATGAGCTCTCTCTCTCTCTTTTTAAAGTTAATGCCTGCTGAGTTCATTTAGTGTTGCCTATATGTTATATACAAGGTGCAAGAGCATCTGCCGGGGCCTCACAGGGATGCATCTTAAAGAAAGTTGAGCCAATAGTTTCTCAGACAGGAATTTCCTTAGAAATTCATAATCTGCTCTCCTACCTGTAGCAGAATTTTGGCTGGTTTGATCTTGTGCAGGTCTTGTGTGAGCTGCTACCGCCATTGTGGGCTCATGTGTACAACTGTGCAGCCATGCCTGGAAGATACTGTTTCACGGCATACATCCACTCGCTCTTCCCTGATGATCCCTGAGTAGTGTGATATAGTTGTCCCATTTAGAGCTGAACACTCCACAGTTTCTTCTTCTTTGCACATTGAATGGTTCTGAGTCTCCATAGTAATTACCAGCAAGTTAAAAAAAAAAAAGCTTCTCTGATGGGGTTGATCAATATTATGTTGCTAAAAATCCATCCATATTGTATAGGTTAGTTGTACTTTTTTCATTTTCATTAATAGGCTTCATATGTACAAATTTTTACATAATTTACCTATTCCTATTGATGAATGTTTTTGTCTCCAGTTCGCTCTATTGTGAATAATGTTAAAGGAAGCATGCTTGAACTCAGTTGAGTGGACATGTGAAAGAAGTTCATTGACAATTGCAGGGTGTTAGAGAATGTTGAATTCTTTGAAGTGATTCAAAACTATTTCCCAAAGTGTTTGTACCAGTTTACTCTCTTTCATCCTGTGTAAGGGTTCTCAGCCTTGTCAGCAACAGGTATTGTCAACCCTCATGATGATTAGGAAGCAGTGTAAGTGGTACGTCTCTGCTAGCTTCACAATGCTGAAAGGCAGACTGACATTCACAGTTTATCATGTGCTCCTGACATTGAAGCCACAGTGCCTACACTGTGCCTTGTGTAGAAACCCAAACCCTGCCTAGCCACAACAGAGAGCCTGCACTATGACTTGTGTGAGTTAGCTCTCTATCACTGTAACAAAATAAACAACACAGGCAACTTATGAAGTAAAAAAAGTTTACTTTGGCTCACAGTTTTGACAGTCAAGACTGTAAATTGGTGGCTCTGTTGTTTCATTTGCTTCTGACAGTGGTATCATGTTGCAGTGGAGCATATGAAGAAAACTCCACACATTGTAGTCTAGGAAGCAAGAGGGGAGAGTAGGGAAGAGACTAGAGCCCCACAGTCTTTTGGGAGGGCATGCCCCAGTGATTTCAGGCCCATGTTCTGTACTATTACGAGTCTGATTGCTTGTCATCTGACCAAAATGCTGGGAGAGTGAAACCAATCAAAACACACAGGCTAATACAGCTTTAGTCAGAGCTAAGGCGACACAGATTCTTAATTTGAATCAACCTTTCTAGTAGATTGTTATTAATTATAGAAAAGATGAAACAAAAGCAGAAACTTGAAGTGTAAATTATGTGAGAGCTGTTATCAGAATTGGCTCTTATCTTTCTTGGTGTCAAGGCTTCAGGCTGCTCTCACTGTGAGCACTAAGCTTCCTGGACACACTCTGGACAGTCTACTCTTTTGGGGTCCCTGTTTTACTATTTTAAAATGTCTTGATCTCATGAGACCCCAACATGAGACCAAGTCTTTAGCCCATAAACCTTTGGAGACACTTGTCTGAATCATGAATTATCTTTACGGAAGAGATTCTTATCAAGACTCTCTAGAGACAGGCTCGCAGTTTCCCCTCTGACTTGACTCCTCTGTGGCATCCTCAGCTTCAGTAACCTAAACACACACACACACACACACACACACACACACACACAGAGAGAGAGAGGGAGAGAGAGAGAGAGAGAGAGAGAGAGAGAGAGAGAGAGAGAGAGACCGAGAATGCAAGGCCTGTCATTTCTCCTCTCTAAGACACACCACTTAGATAGACTGTGGCTCCCAGGGCTCTCCTTGGTCTGTCCTCTCAGAGCTCTGCACTATGACAGCTTAGGAATCCAGAGTCCCCTTCCCTGGAGTCACAGCATTATGTTTGAGCATTGTTCCAGAATTTTGCTTCAGTCAGGTGTGTGTTGAATCAGGAGTTAACAGGATCTAAACCTTCCTATTACAAGAACAGACACCCCTGAGTGTGAATATCTCCTACCAGATAAGGGATCAGTAGATCAGACACCTCCTTATCTACAGGTAGAGAGAGCCAGACCTCTGCTCTTGTTGCTATCTGGCTCACTCACCTCCCCTCATTGCCAGTGAGCTGGTCTTGCTTGTGCAGCTGTTCTCAGAGTCTACCTACTTAAACCAAGAGGTTCCTCGATTCTCAAGGCTGAAGGACACCTTGGAATAATGTAGGCTTTTAGGGAGACCATGAGATTTAGATCTGGGTTCAGTCTATTTCCAGAAAAATGAATTGGAGGAAGTATTTATGAGGCATCTTCCAGAGCTGCCATCCAATGACCACGAGGTGGTAAGGTAAGATAAAAAAGGGACAATGAAGAAGACATGGTACTGAAGTGTCTTCAGCTTCCTGTGGGAGGGAGAACTCTGTCTTGACTACACACGGTTGTTTAACGGGTTTCATCTGAACTGGATGGTCCATAGCACCACAGGGCAAGTTGAGGGCTCTTAATCAAGCTTCCTAGTGTAGGAATGACTGTAAAGAATATGGCTCTGTCTCATGTAAATCTGGAGCAAGGAAGATAGGGAGAAACCCCAGTGTACTTCAGGAAGGCAACTGATGGAATGGAGAGGTCCTCAATTGCAGAAACTTCCTAAAAATCAGAACTTCCCAGTAAAGGAGTGGCAGGGGGGCGGGGGATGAAAGAATATGATATTTATTTTGTAAAACAATTACTTGCTTTAAAGACAAAGGCAAGTCTTTTCCTTAGGAAGAACCCACTCCTGCTAGACATCAGATTGGCTCTATGTGGCAAAGGTAAACTTTTGTCTACTTAGTGATCCCATTGCATCAGAACAAGCACAGATGTTGTATCAGCTTTTCCATGAGTTTTTATTTTAGGGAGAGAGTCTTCTGAAGATAGTGAGTGTGTTTCTTGAGGTTCAGTTTGTTTTGTGTGCTTTCTGAGAATTAACAGTGCAGATTTTCCCAGTTGGACCTAAAAGGTTAAAAATCATGTTCTTTTTGTAATCAAAGGTCTGCAATGGCAACATCACCCATGAGGAGGTAGTGCACTAAACTAACACTGGGGGAAAATTCCAAGCAGCCTTTTTTTTTTTTTTTTTTTTTTTTTTT